ACTGCGAATTGAGGGGGGGGGGGGGTGTGTCACCCTCTGAGACACCGCTGGCTCTTGGACCATGTGGAGGTGGCATCGTGGCTCAGATGATGGGGCGGATGGGACTGGGGTCTGGGGCCGATGCAGACTACATCATTCCTGCCCCTCTCTAAGTCAGCCTCTCCCCAGGGACAGGATGGGATGACCCAGCACAGTGCTCACGCTGCAGGGAGCAGAGACAGTCGCTGCCAGGGGGGAAGCACAAAGTTCCTGGCCTCTAGAAGCTGCTGTGTCCATGAGACCCCCCAGCACTGCGCCTGCACAGGTACCGCAGCCCCATGGCTCTCTATGGGGAAGGGGCAGAAGAATGACAAGAGAGGGAAGGATGTGGCATTTGTGCACAGGTAGGGAGGACAGGGACCATATAGCACAGCAACACAGGCCCAGGACTGTATAACACTGTGTTATACACAGCTACATAGGATGGAGACCGTATGGCACAGCTACATAGGATGGGGACCATATGGCACAGCTACATAGGACAGGGACCCTATAGAACGGATACATAGGACAGGGACCGTATAGAACAGCTACACAGGACAGGAACAATATGGCACATAGGATGGGGACCGTGTAGCACAGCTGCATAGGTGTGGGATGGTACGGCAGAGCTGAACAGGACATGGTCTATATGTCAGAGTTACACAAGACAGGGACCATACACGCACAGTCACATAAGACAGGCACTGCATGGCTCAGTTATGCAGGACAAGGACTGTATGGCACAGTTACGTAGGCAAGGGACCAGACAGCACCACTAGGACAAGAACTCTGTTACACAGCTCCATAGGACAGGGACAGTATGCAATAGCTGTGTTGGATGGAGACTGTAAAGCAAAACTATGTAGAACAGGGACTATATAGCATGGCTAGATAAGACAGGGACTGTATGGCATAGCTACTCAGGATGGGGACCAAATAGCACAGCTACACAGGACTTAATCCATATAGCACAGCCACGTTAGTGCAAGGACTGCATGGCACAGCCATGTAGGATAGAGACTGTATGGGACAAGTACAAAGCACACGGACAGTACAGCACAGCTACATAGGACAGAGATGACATTGCACAGCTGTGTGGGATGGGGACCAGATGGCACAGCTCCATGGTATAGGGACTGTACACCACAGATAGGGAGCACAGGGCCCCTATGTCACAACTGCATAGGATGCGGACCATATGGCCCTGCTATAGGATGGGACTGTACCGCACAGCTATGCAGGACACAGACCTTATTGCACATACACATGAGATGGGGACCGCATGGCACAGGCACAGGACAGGGACCATAGGATACAGCTACAGAGGACACAGAACTTACTGTACACTACACAGGATGGGGACCGAATGGCACAGCTACGGGGAACATGACCCATACAGCACAGGGACCCCTGGCACAGCGACCAGGGGTGACAGCAGGCAGGGAGGGGGCACCGAGCCTGGCAGTAGGGACACCCGACCAGCACCCATCCTGGCGCTGGCCGCTGCGGTGCCTGGGAGGGACCGGCCCCGGCCTTCCCGGTTCCCCTTCCCTCCACCATCGGGTCACATCCCCGGTCCCCAGCTCCCTGCCCTCCATCCAATGCGGGTGCCACCCTTTGGAATCCCCCCTGTGGCTTCACAGGGACCTCGGGGTGGCTTTAGTGCTTCCCTGCCCAAACTGCCCCAAGGGGCGGATGAGCCCCGAGCTCCGTCCCCACGGCCCACACAGGGCTTTCAGGGCTTTCCCACTCTTTACCCCTGCTCCCGGCGGCCCCACACTCCCCCCCCTCCCGGTGCCGGGAAGCCACCGAGACCCCCGGTTGTGCCATTGCTTCACCCGGGGCCCAGCAGCAGCACCTTCGACAGCTTCTGAGCGTGGTGACGCAGCCCGGATTTCGGGGGTCCCGGGGAGCAGCAGCACTGCGCTCTGTGTGTGTGTGTGTGTGTGCGTGTCCCTCACCGGGGATGGGGGTTTTGTCCCTCCTCACCCCTAGCGCTGCCCCCCAAAACCTCCCCTCCCGTGAGGCTCCCAGCGGTGTCACTGCCCCCGACGGCACAGCCGGGACCCTTCAACCACGGACCGGGACTTCCCCATCCCCGGCGGTTTCCGCTGCCGCCCCGGCGGTCCCGTCCAGGGGTCCCATCCCGGTGCCTCGCCCCCGGTCCCCCGCAGCCCCAACTCACCCGTGCGGCCGAGCAGGGCCAGCAGCAGCGGCAGGAGCGGGGCGGTGCGGGGGCCCATGTCCGCTGCGGCCGCTCCCGGGGAGCCAGCGCCGAGTGCCGGGCGGCGGCGGCGGCAGGAAACCGACTCCCTTCGGAGGAGGGTCCGCGGGCGGCGCGGCTCCGCGCCGGGAGGAAATGCCGCTGGCGGCAATGGGGCCGTGCCGGCGGCGGGGGGGGCGCGGCGGAGCCTGCCCGCAACGGGGAGGGGAAGAGGAGGGACGGACCGTAAACACCAACACCCCCCCCACCCCGCCCCGTGCCTCAGTTTCCCCACGGCGCCGTGCGGGGCATCACCCCCGAGGATGCGCTGGGGATGGCACTGGCACACGGGGGGGGGGGTTGTGTCCCCAGGGCCCCCCTGGGCTGGCACTGGGTGGGATGCAGGGGTGCGGGTGGGGTGCACCCCCCCAAAAGACACCCGTGGGTGCTGCTGCAGCACGGCCCGACCTGCACAGTGAGGAGGGGGCTGCCCCGTGTGATGGGGATAGGGGCTGTCCCACGGCACCCCGACACTCAGCCCACTCTGCTCCCAGCCAGTACCACAGTGGGGTCACCGTGTCCCAGGCTGGTTGGTGCCCCATGGCTCTGGACACCCGCCCTGGGGCTATGCTGGAGACGGAGGGTCCACACAAGGCACTGCTGCCTGCCCTGCCTGTACCCTTGGCCAGGCTGTGGCCAGGGACTGCCTGGACATCCCTGCCTGGCCATCACTGTCTGAGGGCAGATTTGGGCTTAGCAGGTCCCCTGGGACAGGGTATCCTGGGTTCGGGGGTCACAGTGAAGCACCACCGAGGTGGGACCCACAGGGTGGCTGGGGGCACTCAGGGAGCCACTTCTGCACGCCTGCCCCATTCCTCCCATGCGTGTCAGTGGGTGCTGCCCGAGCTGAGAGCCCTCACCCGGCTGACGGTGGGGCTGGGACCCGTCCTGGTGCTGAGGGTGGGCACAGACCCCCGGCGGCGGTCTCCATCCCGAGCCAGGGTCGCTGGCACGGGGACAGCACGGGGACCTGCCAGGGAAGGCAGCGAGGCCCCTCCGCACGGGCCAGGATGCTCCCGTCCGTGTCCATGGCCCTGGGTGAGCAGTGGCCATCTCCCATGACAGAGCACTGCCATCTCCTGGGGACCGCGGGGACGGGTGCTCAGCCGGGGAGGAGGATGGGGACAGGGATGGGGACCAGGACCAGGACCAGGCACCCGCACCCCAGGCCCTCCCGCACCCCTCTCCCTGCAGGGCAATGAGCAAGAAGCCCTCGATGATGGAGCACACTCAGACCTGTGTGCCCTGCATCCCTAGCACAGCGTTTCCCCCCCCCCCTCGCAGTTTACGGAGCAGCCTCAGGCTTTCCAGTGAGAGGAAAAGCATCCAAAACCCATCACCAAGCATGCAGCACCCATGCTGGGGAGGAGAGCAAGGGGCTGAGCACCACAGCATCGCCCCTACCATCCCCACTGCCCTGCTCCCCACCTGGGGAAACTGAGGCACGCTCACAGCACACCCAAAGAGGGATGGAGGCACAAGGGCCATGGGCTGCCCTGCTCCCCACTGCATGGCTTAGGGCTGTAGCATCCCAGCCTGCCTGCCCCACTGTCCCCTTGTCCCCACTGACACGAGGCAGCCCCAGTCCTGGCTCAGCCGTGCTGGCAGTGCCCCAGCCCCGGCCGGATGGCCGCATCCTTCCTGCCTCCCGCGGTGCCCCCGAGCCCTGCTGGTGGCTCCTGCACCCCCCCATGCTCGGGGCTGACGTCGGAGCCTGGCGAGTTTGGGTTTGCTGCTCGGGGAATTGATGTTTTTCCCTGCTCGCTTCCTTCCTCCGCCCCGGCCCCGTGGCCTCAGCTGCCCCCAGCGCTGCCGCCTGTCCCCGGCCCCCAGAGAGCCTGAAAGTGAGAGCAGGGGGGGCCCTGATGGGGTTGTGGCACTGCTGCATCCCGCACTTATAATGGATAGGTAAAACCTTGTCCCCACTGCAGCCCCTCTGCTGTGGCATCGTGCCTGGGCAGCTCTGCGGTGCTGGGGAGCCCCCAAATCTAAGTCCCTCAAACCAGCACCTGGAGGTGCAATTCATTTCCCCTAAGTACCCTCACCCTATCCCACACCCAGCCTGGTGGCTGGACATAGCTGGGTGCCCCCAGTGGGTCCCTCAGCCCCTGGGGACAAGCCTGCATCCTTGGCTCAGAGGTGGCACTGATGGCAGTGGGTACCAACGGCAAGGAGCACCCCACTCCATGGCATTATGCTACCCCAAAACACCACACTGCAGCCACCCTGTACCCCAAAAAACCCTGACAGCCAAAAGAAACCGGGAAATGCCAAGGCATGAAAGTGATGGAATTCCCCATCCCATCACGGCTGGGCCTGAATTTGCTATCCCAGTGCTGGCAGAGCCACGGGGAATAGGGATGAGTGTGCAGGATATGGCTCAGACGGGGCCTGCAGCCCCACGGACACACGCACAGAGCACAGGGAGGTCCAGCAGTGGGACAGGATCGGGTTGAGCGGGCCCAGCTATGGGACGTGGCCCCGTGCTCCCCACAGGCCATGGATTGGGAAGCTGGGGCAAGCGGCCGGGATGCTCCCTCCCTTCCTCCAAGCACAGCATCCCGCTGCTCCCGGTGGGATAAACACCCGCTTCCTGCCCTTAATCAGCTCCAGAGGGGTTGGGGGGAGGACAAGGGGGGGAGAAGGGAAAAAAAAAAACAACCTCTGGAAAGAAAAACTCATTTCCTGCGCCAGAAGAAAAAGATAAAGTCTGGGCTCATTACAGGGAACTTTACTGGGGAGAGACGGGAAAGAGCCAAACACAATGTCCTTGAAATTTCCTCCGCGCGGCTCCGGCCTCGAAAACAGGATAAAGGCGCTTCCGCTGTCTCTGCCGGAGCGTGCCGGGGGGGGAGTGGGGCCAGGGGCTCGGCTACAGGGCGTCGAGGTGGGAGCAGACCTGCTGGAAGACCTCGTCCACAGAGCCCTCGGCGTTGAGCTGGGTACGGAGGGGGTCAGAGATGGGGGCTCCCGCCAGCGAGAGGAGCTCTTCCAGGGATGGATGTGGCCGTGGGTGGGGAGAGCGGGGCTGATTCAGGGTGCGGGGCCATGCGTGGAGGGGGTCAAGCCCACCCCAAATGAGCCAGGATTGGGTTTTCTTCCTCATCATCCCCATCCGTCGCTTCCCCTCCCCAGGGACCACACACGCGCCCATAGGGCTGGAGGGTGCTGGCATCAGCCGCATCCCCGCTTACCTGGCGGACGATGCCTCTGCCCTTGTAGAAGGTGATGACGGGCTCGGTGGCCTTGTAGTAGGTCTCTAAACGCTTCTTGATGGTCTCCTCGTTGTCGTCCACCCGCCCGCTGGTCTCGCCCCGCTTCAGCAGGCGTTTCACCATCGTCTCCTTCCCTGCGTCCACGTAGAGCAGCAGCGTGGGGGGGGCGATCTGCGAGCACAGAGCACACGGGTGTCACCGTGGGTCTGCTTTGGGAGGTGGTTGTGGGAAGAATGGGGTCACAAACGTGTGTCCCCCTCCCCATCCTCTGCATCTTCAGCGTGGGTCTATGGGGACATCATTCTGGTGTCCTGGTGGCCTCCAGATCCATGCAGAGGGGGGAAAAGGGACACCATAGCCAAGCATTGGATGTCTGCCATCACCATCATGCCAGCACCGTCAGCCCAAGGACACCCTTGAGCGATGTCCCCCATGCACTGCACCCCGATGTAGTGTCCCCAAGGTAGGGTGCCCAGTTTAGACCTGCTGGGATGGGGTGGGATCTTCACTGGGATGGACAGGCCAGGCTCCTATTGGATGGAGCCCCTCTTCCATGGCACCAGCCCTCACCTTCTTCTCAAACTCCTCTCCCTGCTTCACCTCGCGGGGGTACCCATCGATGAGGAAGCCCTTGGACACATCTGCTTTGGCCACCATGGCATCCCTCAGCATGTCCAGCACCGTGTCCTGGGGAGGGGAGGACAGAGCAGACATGGGACAACACACCCTGCACCCAGAAACCCCAATCCCTGCTGCAAACCCCTGTGGCAGCACAGACAGAGGTACCCCATGGCCATGAGCTGACCATTACCGTGGTACCTAGTGTCCCCAAAGCCACCCCTGCCTGTGAGTCCCACCACGACTCACCAGGGGCACCAGCTCGCCCTTCTCCATGATGGCCTTCAGCGTCTTGCCCCGCTCTGAGCCCGAGCTGACCTCTGCCCGCAGCAGGTCCCCCGTGGAGAGGTGGGTATAGCCATACTTCTGCACGATCCTCTCACACTGGGTCCCCTTCCCTGAGCCAGGGCCACCTGCAAGTCACACAAGGGCCACACGTGCCCCGAGCCGTGGGTAAGGAGCTGCAGTGGTACATGGAGGCAGTGGCATAGCCTGATGAGATGGACGAGATGAGCATCCCAAGGCCAGCATCAGATGGATGAAGAGAACTGCTCCTGGGATGGAGGATGCCAAGCGCTTGGGGTTGGCACGGGCTGCTGGCAGTGTGGGTACCACCACCCTGACAGCACCCAGGGCATCACCCAGGGCATCACTGTCACAGTAATACCCAGGGTATCACAACCCCATCAGCACACAGGACATCACCAGCTCATGCAGGACCCAGGACATCACTGTTCCATTGGCATTTGGCCATCACCATCCCATTGGCATCGAGGATGTCACCACTGCCTGCTGGCACTCAGGACATCACCCCCCAGATGTTTACTGTCACATCACCCCAGATGCTGCCACACCATGACCAGTCAGAGGTGCCCTCCCAGTCCCAGCAACCCTGACCCACCATGGCCCCAGCGATAGAGCCTGGGCACAGACTTACCCACCACGAAGATGATTTTGTGGTTCTTGAGCTTTTCTGGAGGAGACAAAGGGATAAAAAGAGCTCTCAAAAGCCAGAAAGGGCACTGGGGAGCGTGGTGTCCCTGGGGGTGCCAGATCCAGGACAGGCATCCCTAGGGATGGAGGGGACTGAGCCCAAAGTGCAGGGAAGGTGGAGGGCAGCCACTGGGTGTCCCCCTTGTCCTCATAACCTGAGCAGACCATGGCTGACCACAAAGACCCAGTGGTGCTGTGGCCACAGGGCTGGAATCCCACTGCTGCTTGGTACCTTGGAGACAGTCACTGGGCACAGCTCCACCATGGGTAGGGATGGCCACATCCACCCCTGTGGCCAGGTTGTCACCCAATGTGGGGCTTGGCACGGCCACCTCCCAACAGCCCCTGACCCCCACCACTGGTCCATGGACCTTGTGGCACAAACCCACCCTTGTCCCCTGCCAGCACCCAGGAGCAGGGCTCCACCTCCTGCAGGACCTGGCCAGGGTGCAGGGCGATGCCAGGGGGAGGCAGGGCTAAAAATAAAGGCGAGACACTTTGGGGACACTTTCCCATCTCCTGATTACAGGCGGATGGAATTACAGCTCCTCCGGCACCCGGCGCTCCCCGGGGCTGGGGACCGAGCCAAGTGGCTGGCAGGGACATACTGAGGGGATGTGGGGCACGTAGAGGGCTGGAGGGACGTGGGGTGGATCAGAGGGGAGGGAGGCAAGGAGGGGACACAGGGAAGGGTATAAGGGAGGGGTGAAAGGGACAAATGGGATGGGCTCAAAGGGGATTGAAGGGATGTGGGTAGAGGGAGTGAATACTGGGGGGGTGGAGGGGATGGATACAGGGGGATGTGGGCATGCAGAGGGGATGGATGCAAGAGGAACCGAGGGGATGGATGCAAGAGGGACCGAGGGGATGGATGCAAGAGGGACCGAGGGGATGGATGCAGGGTGGGTGGATGCAGGGGGGTACTGAGGAGATGGATGCAGGAGGGACCAAGGGAACGGAGGCAGGGGGATGGCAGTAAAGGCGACGGTGGGGACAAAGGGATGGATGCAACAGGGGTTGGAGAGGACGGATGTAAAGCAGATGGATACAGAGGGGAAGGATGCAGAGGGGACAGACACTCACCTGTCGACATGCTGTTGTGGTCCAGGCACAGGAGCACTTCAGGCTGCAAGGAAAGAAGAGGAGGATGAGCAACTCAGAGCACTGGGGACACGCAGGTCCCCATCTAGGGAGACCAGGGGTCTCCTTTCCCTGCCACGCTGCTGCCCAGCTCCACGGCCAAGGTGGGGGCCAGGTTTTCTGCCCCAGCACCAGCAGGGAGGGTGCCCTGACCTCAGCCTTAGCCCGCAGACAGGGAGCTCTGCTCCCACATCCATCACCTACCTGGCTCCCGGCACCTGCCGCATCCGGCTGCGGTGAGGGCTTCCCTGTGCCGGCTGACGCGCGGTGACGTTACCGGCTTCCTCCCCTGCCCTGACCGCATCCCAGGGCCCAGAGCGCCCAGGACCCCACCTGGGCTCCCCGGCATCACCAGGACACGAGTGATGGACACAGCACCCCCCCAGAGCAATGGTTTCTATGGGGGGGGGGTGTGGGTGTCTGGAAGTGCCCCATTGCACCCCATCACCTCGGACAGGGGGGTGGCCACCCTGCCTGCCCGCACCCAGCCCCGCGGCACCCGGCCTGCTTGGCCACAGCGTCACCCCAAACCGGCTGGATGAGGAGCTGGGATCGGGCAGCCCAACAAGGTCATCTTACAGCGGGAAAGGGCAGAGGCTAAGTATGGCCGGGATGAAACCGGCACCGGGTCACGTCCCGCTGCGGGCCCTGGCATGGGGCTGGGGGGGGGGGGTGCAGGACCCCCGGGGTTCCCTATTGTGGAGGGTGCTGAGCACCGACCTTGGTGGGGCCATAGAGGCTGGGGGCAGCCCTGGTGCTCAGTGGGGGTCAGGGCTTGATCCAGCGCGGCGCTGAGCCCATGGGTGCAGGGTGAGGGTGATGTGGTCCCGAATGGGTGCTGGGACGGGGGGGTCTGGATGGGGGTGTGAAACACGGCTCAGGACACCCCAACACAGCCCATTGCAGGAGGCACCCCGGGGTGCTCCCATCAATCTCAGCCCAACAGCAGCTCCAACACAGCCCTGCCTCACACCCAGCACCCAGCCCCTCCCATCAGCACCCAGCTCCTGCCTCCCTGGGACCCCAAGGCCCAGGACTGGGCTGCTCCAGCACCCATGCAAGCCCTCAGCACCCATGCAATAGACCCAGCACCCTTATTAGGCCCCAATACCCATACAAGACCCCCAGCACCTGTGCAAGCCTTCCAGCACCCCTGAAAGCCCCCCCCAGCACCATGCAATGGCTCCAGCACCCCTGAAAGCCCCACCACCATCCAAGAAATAGCTCCAGCACCCACTGAAGCCCCCCTGCACCCATGCAATACCTCCAGCACCCATGCAAGCCCCCCCCAGCACCCATGCAATGCCTCCAGCACCCATGCAAGCCCCCCCAGCACCCATGCAATGCCTCCAGCACCCATGCAATGCCTCCAGCACCCATGCAATAGCTCCAGCACCCATGCAATAGCTCCAGCACCCATGCAAGCCCCCCCAGCACCCATGCAATACCTCCAGCACCCATGCAATGCCTCCAGCACCCATGCAATGCCTCCAGCACCCATGCAAGCCCCCCCATCCAAGCAATAGCTCCAGCACCCATGCAAGCCCCCCCAGCACCCATGCAAGCCCCCCCAGCACCCATGCAATGCCTCCAGCACCCATGCAAGCCCCCCCCTCCAAGCAATAGCTCCAGCACCCATGCAAGCCCCCCCAGCACCCATACAATAGCTCCAGCACCCATGCAAGCCCCCTCATCCAAGCAATAGCTCCAGCACCCATGCAAGCCCCCCAGCACCCATGCAACCCCCCAGCATCCCCTGCGCTGCCCCCCCCGTTCCTGCACCCCCCTCCCGGGGGCAGGTCCCGTCCGGGCACAGCATCCCCGGGCACCGGGGCCCGCTCTAGCTCCGGTGCCGCAGTGCCCCCCCCATGGCAGCTCGGGTCCGGGGATGGGGGGCACGCACTGACCTGTGCGGGGCCGGGCGGGGGCAGCGGCTCCGCTCCTGCCGGCTCCGGTACCGCTATATATAGACGGCGGCGCCGCGCTGCACGCCGGGAGCGGGCCCGGGCAGCCGCGGGCAGCGACGGGCAGAGCCGGGCTCCCCCCCTCCCTCTCCCGCGGCATTGATGCGGTCCTCGGGGTCCGACAGCGGCCAGCGGGGGCTATGGGGGGCTATAGGGGGCTATGGGAAGCGGTGCGGACCTCCAGCACCGGGGGCTGTGATGCGCAGACCCCCCCCCCCCAATGCCTCAGTTTCCCCATCTGCGGGGGGAAACATCGACCCCGGTGGGTTTGGGGACACTGCGGCATCGCCGGGGTCCATCCTGTGCCTCTTCTGGCAGCATCTTGGGAGGGGAAAGCTGTCCCCATCCTCATCCCTATCCTGGTCCCCATCCCGCCACAGCACCCTGGTTACCACCCGCATCCTGCCAATGAGAAGGGGAGCCCCAGGGGTGCAGCGCCCTTACTTGGCTTTCTTCATCCTCCTCCTCCTCCATGGCTGCAGAGACCCCTGCACCCCCTCGCTGGGGTGTGACACGAGTTGGGGGGACCTCAGCTGCTCCCCGCTCCAGGCAGGGCACTGGAAGGGATGGCTCATAGCTGGGGTCAGCTGGACGCTGGACATGGGTCCCTATGGGTCTCATTCCTGCACCCTCCCAGGTGCCCAGAGCCAGCATCGCTGTGGGTTGGGGGTCTGAGGACCCCTGTGACAGCCCCACCAGCACCCAACTGCCCAGCCCCAAACACCCATCCCGGAGCCAGGGCCCAAGGCAAGAGACTGCAGCGATGTTTATTCCTGTACAAACCCCTATAAAACACGGGTGCCCCACGGCTTCCCCTGGCACCGCATCCGTCAAAGCCCCAGCGCAGATGGGGCACAGCCAAGGGGAACCCGGGGCATAGAGCACAGCACCCAAGCTCGCTGCATTGAGCTGCTTTCCACTCAGTGCTCTGCTGATGGGAAATGAACAAATCCTCCTCTGGCTGGGGGTGCTGAGGGTGCTGCACCCTGTGCCACTTCCAAAGGGTTATTAAACAATGAGGACCCTGCTCACTCCTTTGGCCGGGAACCCCAAATACAAACCCTGGGATGAGGAGGAACAAAACACAACCCCCCCCCCCCCCAAATCCCATTGCTCCAATAGAAAAGGTTTTGGCAGTGTGGGGCGCAGCAGTTCTGGAGGGTGGCTGTGGGGTGCTGGGGCACCCATGGTGGCAGTGTCACCCCCACAGGGTCCCATTGAAAACTGCGGGGTGCTGCTGAGGGGAGGATGTGGTGGAACAGGATTGGGGTGATGGGGGTGGCAGAGAGGGGCTGAGCATCAAGAGGGTCCCAATCCCCCTTGAAACAGTCTCTGTGGTGGCCCCTAAAGTGATGCAGCCCCAAAGGGACCTCAAACCCCTCCTGTGTTCTCACAGGACCAGGCAGGATCTCACCTCCATGTCCATGGGGGGGGGAACACCCCAAACCCCGCACTCACCCCAAAACCCAGCTCAAACCCCAACACATCCCAGTGCGAGGAGCCACTGTGAACAGAGGCAATGGTCCCGTAAGAGGCACCCAATGCCTGGCTCCAACTGCTCCAAACGGGATGCAGGGGAACCCTCATCCATCCCAGCTCCAGAGGCAGCCCCTAGGGCCACGTGGGGTGGGAGAAGGTGATGTTGTAGAGGCCGGCCCAGCTGGAGAAGACCCTCTTCTCGGTGATGAAGCGGTGGTGGTTGCCCTTGCGGCTCCGCTCGTTGTGGATGTAGGTCGTGCACTCATCGGGGCCCTTCGGCTCATAGTAGTGGTAGGGCAGGCGGCGCGGCGGGGGCCGGCGGCTGCGGGTTGGAAGGAGGGGGGAAAAGCATAGGGTGAGCCCCACGGTGGGGACACGGGGCTGGGATAAGGGCTCGGGGGTCTCCTCACCCGCAGTAGTTGGGTGGCACCATGCCGTAGACATGGACGGCATCGCAGAGCTCCACCGCGATCACCATGGTGAACCAGCCCGTGCTCAGCCACGACCGCGACTTCTCCCTGGGGGGCGGCACAAGCACCATGGGGACAACAGCGGGGAGGTGATGGGGATACAGACCCCAACTTGCCCCAACCCCATGGAGCAGCCCCAAGAGCCAGCTCCACCCCAGGGACATGCTAAAGCGAGGATGCGGCGCCGGAGGTGGCTCCGAGGTACCTGTCCTTCCCTGTCTCCCCCCGGAACAGCTCATCGAACTGCTTCATGCGGCCGGGGGAGACCACGTAGGCCGTCATGTTGGGGAAGGAGGTGCTGATGCGCTGGATGATCTTCAGGAGGCTCTTCTGCATCTTGGCGGGCGGCCCCCAGAAGATGAAGATGGTCTCGGGGGTCTTGTTGACGAACTCCTGGGGCCGCTTGAGCACGCGGTAGAGGCTGGAGTGGGCCACCACGCGGAAGGTGGTCTTGTTGCCCACGTCGGCCTCGTAGCCGGTGGTGGGAGCGTCGTTCATGCGGATGGTGCATTCGGCCCCATCGATGGCCGTGCCCAGGCGGGTACCCAGGAGGTGGCTGGAGCTGGTGACGATGACGCACTGGTGGCAGCGGGCAGTGAGGGTCTGGTGATGACAAACACCGGGTGTCAGCACAGCCCAGCAGGGAGGGATGGAGCTGGGCAGGGGGCAAGGCATCGCTGTGGATGTCACCCTGCCCCGCAGCTCGTACCTTGTTCCCACACACGGGCAGGTACCCGCTTTTCACCCCCCACTTCTTGAGGTCGGGGGGCCGGCGGGCTCTGCCCCGCAGGCGGCTGTAGGGGAACACCTCGCTCCCATTGCCGGAGCTGTAGATGATCAGCAACATGATCAGGGCAAAGAGGACCCCCAGGGCGGCGGCGCGATGGCTCTGCGGGCAGGGGGAGAGCATCAGCCGCTGCCCCCAGCCCCGCTCCCCGCGGCACCTCCAGTGTCCGCAGGGAGACTCCCGGTGTCCATAGGGACATGCTCCAGCACTCACCGTGCTGCCACTCATGTCTTTGTGCCGGCCTCAGTGCACTGCGACCGCCAGTGTCCCGCGAGCACCTGCAAGGCACACGGTCACCCCCTGCACTGGCCACTTGCCACCTCGCTTGGGACGGCAGGGGTATGGGATGAGCCACCAAGCAGCCCGCGATGGGTACCCAGTGGGACACCCCAGCACTGATATGGGGAAGGGAATGCCAATGGGATCAGTGGTGTGGAGGAGCTCAGCGTGGCCACAGCTCATGCCAGGGAGATCCCTGCAGCGGGCTGGGATCCAGGGATGGATTATCCCCCGCCGGCAGGCCCGAAGCCACTCAAACCCATGGGTCAGCGTGGGTAAACCCGGTGCTTGCGTGGTAAATCCCATTAAACCAAGCACCAGGGAGTCTCAGACCGCGGTGGGGAGGAACTGAGACCTGCCCAGCCCAGCTCACGCATGGGCTCAATCCAACCAGAGCCAGCAGCGACCTCTCCAGCCCCAGGGTGCTCACCCCTGGGGGGGGTCCTGCTCCGACCTCCCCTCGCCCGAGCTCGCAGCAATGGACTGACCCAGTTTATCCTGTCAGGTCCTGGTTACTGAGGCACAGCTGCTGGGAGCAATGAGGAATTAAAACCAAATTGAAACCTCTTCACTAATTGCCCTGGAGGGGGGAGGAGGGATGGAAAATGATGCAGCAGCTCCTGGCTCCAACCCCAGGGGGCCCCGCAGGGCTCTCAGGGCCGCTGTGGATGGACGGGAAGGTTCCAACCGGGGACAGCCTTGGCGTGCGGGTACAGAGGAGCCCCGACGTGCACAGGTTGCGGGGGGGCAGCACCGGGGCACCTGCATCTCCGCAGTGCTCTGTCCATGGGGGACCCCACATCGGGGACCCCACATCGGGCCTTACTTGGTCGAGGGGTCTCATCTGCGGCGGGCAGCGCACGGCGCGGGGGGGGCGTCATCTCCTCCTCGGGCCCCGCAGGGGATGCGGGACGTTGCGGGCAGGGGGAGGTCCGGTTCCACCGCTGCCCCGGGCTCACATCGCGGCTCTGCCGGGAAAGGGCTGATCCAGACCCGCTCCCGCCCGGTGCAAACCCCGCTGCACTCACAACGTGCAGGGATCCCCCAGCCCCGGATGCGATCCCTGCTGATGCCCGGGAAGGGAAAACCCGCCCCGGAATGCGAATCCTCCCCCGCTTCCCAGTGCTGCCCCCACATCCCCGCACCCAAGGGTGCAGCCCTCCCCCGGCAGTCCCGCTTTGCAGGAACCGCGCAAACCGGGGCCCGTCCGCCCTCCATACCCCCCACCCCCCCCCCCAATTTACCGTGCACCGGAGCCGTTCCACCCCTGCACCGGCTAAACGGGCCCGGAGAGGACGCAACGTATCCACCGACCGCTCCGCTCCGCAGTGCGCCGCGATGCCGCTGCTATCGGTGCCGGTACCGGTGATGCCGGTGCCGGTGATGCCGGTGATGCCGGTACCGGTGATGCTGATGCGGCTGCCGCCTGGGCCGGAACCGAGGACCAACGCAGGGTCCTAGCGCCGCCCGCCCGAGATGGAGACAGCCGCAAGGGTCCTAGCGCCGCCCGCCAAGATGTGGAGCTCCGCGGGGGTCCTAGCGCCGCCCTCCCCGCGCCAGGCCCCGACGGTGCAGGCCGGGGCTTGCTCCCGCCCCTGCGGTCTGACCCGTCCCACCCCCGAGGGCACCGGGGCGGGCACCAGAGCAGCACGTGGCGTCGGGGCCGCATTGTTGGGATGCCGCCGCCTCCCCCATCGCGCTCCGGGGCTGTGGTGTGGCAGGGAGGGCGCTGACCGGGACCTGCAGGCCCTGTCCGGGGGGGGATCTCGGCTCGGCTGCGCTAGCGGGGCCCTTCCCTGTGTGCGGTTGTGGCAATGGGGCAGAGCCCCACGGGCTCTTGGTTCACGCTCGCCTGTGGCTCCCTGTCCTGGCAGCATCTCCAGGTGACTCGCTCCTCACTCAACCCCTGCTGAAACGGGGGTGAACGCGGCTCCCTCTGCCCTCCTCCTGCCTCCCCCGACACCTCCAGGCCCACCCAAACACTTGGCATCTGTTAAGGGTTCCAAGAGCTGCAGCCGGGCTCAGGGCCGCGCACGCCGTGTCCTGGCATGACCCAGGCCTCCACAAACGCCCTCCCTGCAGGGCAAAGATCAGCCTGGACCCAGCACAGAATCCACCCCAGCTCAGTGCCCATCTCGCAGGGACCTGGTTGGGATGCAGCTGCTGGTTCCCAAATGCTCTCCACCATCGGCTTTCGGCTCCTTCCTCCGTGCTCAGGCTCAGCTCTACCCCCTCACCACCTTATTTATAGCCTGGCAGGGGAGCAGGATGCTGGCAGCACGGAGAGCAGCTGCTGTCCCCTGTCCCCACGTCCCGCAGAACTAAGGGGCACAGCACAAGGCACCATCGAGTTAAAACTGCATTTAATGGCCACGTTTGCTTTGGTCTGAATCCAAGGGCACTTGTGACGAGGCAACGTGAAGCCCCCCCTGAGCTGTGTATGACCCCAGGGCATTCCAGTTAAGGGGATGCAGGGGACCACAGGGACCTGCCCCGGCGCAGAGCAGCAGAAGGTATCAGGATAGGGGAGCCCTGTGCCCCACATCAAGCACCAGGAATCAGGGAATCAGTGGGGCAAGGAGCTCCATCCCTGGGAGAGGCAGAGGCTCATGGCCCCGAGCTCTGCTGCTGTCACGCTGGAGCCCAGCAGCGTGAATGTTCCATCCTGCATTAAATATTCACCCCAGCAGAGCAGGTGGAAACCCTTTGCGGTCGCATTGGGTCCATCAGAGAGGTGCTTGGTGCCAGTGGGGCTCTATGGGTCCAGCTCATGCCTCTGTGCACCAACATGGGGAGGGTCCCAGCCCACCCAGCAGCTGGAGGAACCGGCCCTGCTGCTGTAGCGGCACCGATGCAGCCAAGGCATGTCACTGCAGGATGCTGCCTCGCCCCATGGCTCACGCCCTATCCGCTGGCCCAGGACGGGTGGCTGAAGGTGATGTTCTTCCTCTTGGCCCAGCGGGAGAAGATGGTTTTCTCGGTGATGAACCGGTGCCCGGCGCGCTGGGCTCGCTCGTGCACCAGGTACATCCTGCACTCGTCCAGCTGGCCCTGCTCGAAGTAGTGGTAGGGCACGCTCGAGTGGTTCTTCTCCCTGTTGCGAGGGGATGGGGGTGTGTGTGTGTGTGGGGGGGAGACTCGGGGGGATGCTGGGTCACCCCGCGCCCGCTGCTCCCCACGTACCTGCAGTAGCTGTCGCTGACCATGCCGAAGACGCAGATCCGCTCGCAGAGCTCCATGGCCAGGATCATGGTGAACCACCCCGTGCTCAGGAAGGAGCCGGACTTCATCCTGCAAAGCACCACGATGAGCGGGTGCGGTAGGGCTACCAGCCCAGCTGGGATACGGGTGTCTGATGGGGGCGGACGACACTGGTGCTATGGTGGGGGGAACCCAATGGGGTCTCTGTGGGAGGTGGTGGTACCTATTCTTGCCCGTCTCATTCTGGAAGATGTCGTCGCAATAGGCCATCTTCTCATTGGTCAGGGTGTAGATCTGCAGGTGCGGGTACATCTGCATCACCTTCAGCAGCGCCTGGTAGGTCGAACCCCCCTTCTCCCTGCTCATCTTCCTCGCCGGCCCCCAGATGATGTACAGGGTGTCCTGGCACTGCTGGAAGAAGTAGCGCTGGTTCCTCAGGAGCAGGGGGACGCTGGTGTGCGACACCACGCGGACGGTGCTGCGGCTGCCCACGTCCTCCTCGTAGCCGGCGGTGGGCGCGTGGTTCATGCGCAGGACGCACTCCTGCCCATCGATGGCCTGGCCCAGGTGTGAACCCAGCATCTGCCCTGAGCTGGAGACCACGGCGCAGCGGCGGCACGGGGCCCGCTCCAGTGGCTGTGGGGAGATGAACCCATTGGCTCCCCATTGGCTCCTGTAGCCCCTTCCGCCCTCATTAAGGAAGGGGAAACTGAGGCACGGTCGGGCCGAGCTGCCCCATCCCTGCTCACCTTCCCATCAGGGACGCGGCTGTACCCCTGCAAGCGCGGGGCAGTGGATGCTGTGGGGCTGCCCCACTGTGCCGGGGGCCGGCAGCAGGCCCGCGGGCACGCTTGGTTGCACAGCAGAACGTAGAGCACAGCACCCAGCGCCGCGCACACCAGCGACAGGAAGAGCCGGGCCTGGAGCAGAGCGGGAGAAGGAAGGTTCCTGCGGGCCCGGCCATGTGCGCTGGATGCCGGGGGCTCCATGGGGCCGTGCACAGGAGCAGACCCACGGCGATGGGCGTGGGGCGCAGGGGGGGCGCTGGGTGCCTGCACCGAGCTCACTTCCTGCAGGCAGCACCGGCCGAGGGCCGCGCTCAGGGGCTCGCTGCTGCCTGCGGGGTCCGCGGCTCACCCGGGCTCCTTCCCCGCCGCTGCCGTCGGGTCCCGCCGCCCCTGCGGGTACTCACCAGGGTCTTCATGCTCGGGGGGCACCGTGGGGCCCGGGGTCACCAGGAGGGTCGCGGCTCGCTCCCTGCGCACAGAGCGGGCTCAGCACCGGGGACGCCCATCCCCGGCACCCCAAAACCCGAGGTCCCCCCATCCCTGCCCCGGTCCGGGCCGCACTCACCGCGCCGGGAGCCCCCGCGGCGCCGCCGCTCCCCGGCCCCCAGGGCCGCGGCCGCCGGGTCCCGCATCCCGCGGGGCAGCGCCGGGGCGGGGCCGAGCGGGCACTGCCGGCACCGGGACCGCCCCCCCCCTCCGCCCTGCAGCCCAGCACCGCCTCCGGCACCGGCACCGGGACCCGGGCGCGGTGAGCCGGGACCGACCCCGCACGTGTCGGTAGCGAGGGCAGCGCCGCACGTACCCTGGTACCGACCCGGAGCCATCCCCTGTGCACCGGCCCCAACCACCCCGCTATGGACCCCAGTGCCCGTCCCCGGTACCCGTTTCCCTCTGCACCTCCTCTGCCCTCGCTTGGGGTCCCTGCTGTGACCCCCCCCCGTGTCCCCAAGCCCCCTTCTCACCTCCGTGCACCATCAGCTCCCAACCACGCCGGACGCTGGGACCGAGGGGATCCAGAGCAGCTCAAACCAGCAGCCCCTTGGTTCCCAGTCCCCACCTGATGCCCCCAAAGGGCCGCCCCTTCTTGCCCCTGGACTATGCAAAGCGCTCCCGAGGCGAGGTGCCTGCTGCCCAGGGGTGGGTGCTGGACTTTGTATCCTCCCCTTGTTGACAAGGAAACATGAGAAGTAGCCTCAAAACTGCTCCCAGCCCTGCCCTTGGCACGCTTGGAGCAGGATTAGAGATGAGGTGACAGGGACACTGCGGGGCTCTGACCCAGGAGGCAGCGCCTGGGGCAAACCCGACTGTGGGCAGACACGATCCCATCTTCCACCCTTTGGCCTCCTCCTGCCCCAGCTCACACCCACCCTCATGGGCTGGGTTGAGCCATGTCCGGGTGGAGAGGGGCCGGGAAGGGTTTCTCACCCTGTGGAGCAGCACCAACACTGAGGCAAGGCAAGAGGGGTGGATGGAGGCCTGGCAGGCTCTGCAGGAGCTGCGGACAAACCTCCATCCGGAGCCGAGCCTCTGGACCACACACATGGGTTTAAACCACTGCCAGGCGCAGCCCAAGGCACCCCGAGCCACCAGCATCACCCCTGGGCAGGACCGGAGGTGATGGGACATGGTGCTGCCTGGTAGGGGAAGCTCTCAGTCTGTGTGGGAAGGATCAGAGCACCCCAATCCTGCCCTCCCCTTGCTGGAGCTGCCCCATGGCACAAGGCTGGGTATGCCCAGGCCACCCCAGTCAGGGTGTTTCCCTGTCTGATGTCTCCCAGTGCTCACATGCCACACAAGGGTTCCTCTTCAGAGAGGTCAGATTGGACTTGAGCAAGCTGCTCTAGTGGAAGGTGTCCCTGCTTGTGGCACGGGGTTGGAGCTGGATGGGCTTTAAGCTCCCTTTCACCCCAAACCTTCTCTGATTCTATGATGAGCTCCTCCAGCAGGCAAATGGAGAATACAAACTTGCCTTTTCCAAGCCCAAAGTCTCACTTCTTTCCTCTCAAACACCACTGAGAAACCCCCACAAATCATATGTGAACATTTAATAAGGACACAGGAGGAACACACTGGACACAACAAGAGCAGCAGGGAAGGATCACCCAGAGGCTGAGCAGAGGGTGGAGGTCGGTCCCCAGCCACTGCAGCCCAGAGGACAGCCCCAGTTTGGAGCAGGTCCCTCACAGCAGGGCTCTCTGGTCCCTCTCTCAATGAGCCCTGAATGTCAGGTTTGGTTCCCTTGGTCAGCACGGTGTAAACGGGTTTGTCTCTGCAGGAAGGAGGGTTTGGTGCTGAGCGCTGCCTGCTCGGGGCCACAGGCAAAGTCTTTTCTTGGCTCTGGCGCCTTCTCACCCCCCTTCAGTCCAATTTCTTGACAGGCTTCCTGTTCTTCCACATCACAACCGTTATAAAAACACCTGCAGTGAGAAAGAGAACAGATTGGGACCGGGAGTGTCTGATTACAGGTGCTTTGAATCCCACTGCAGTGAGAAACGGGCCCCGAGCAGCGTGAGTGAGACAACTCCTCTGTGCAGGGCCTCAAACAGCCCACGTTACACCCAAACACCAGCCCCCAGAGCCTGTGCT